ACACTTAACGAACTGAGCCACCCAGGCGCCCCTGTTCTCCCACAACCTTATATCCCCATTTTTCAGAAGGGAGGTTCTTGGGGCGCCTGGGTGGCTCAGTTGGTTAAGCATCCGACTACGGCTCAGGTCACGATCTCACAGTTCGTGAGTTTCAGCCCCGCATCGGGTTCTCTGCTGTCAGCACAGAGCCCGCTCGGATCTTCTGCCCCCCTCTCTCCACCCCTCCGCTGATTGTGAGAGGGCGTGTGCACTTGCTCACATTCTCTCTGTCTCTCAAAATTAATAAACATTAAAAAAAAAAAGGGAAACTTTCTAGGTGAAAGGGCAGAGAGCGCTGGGACCCACGGGCCTGAGGCTGAGAAAATCCCAGAGGGAGGCCTGGCCTGGGGTGAGGAGGAGGGCACTCAGAAGTGATGTGGGGGAAGCAGAGGGGGAAGGGGAAGTGGTTTTCCTTCCCTGCATCAGGCACACACGTGCTGAGGTCGACTCCTCTTCTAAAGGCCTGACCAAAGGCCTGACCCCCACGGTGGGCCCCCGCCCCGATCCCCAGGATGCACGGGCTCCGGGAGCACCCACCGCCAGTTGTGGGGCATGCACCCCTCCTCCCATAAGGCCGGGCAAGGATTCCCCTTCGAGGCAGCTGCTCATGGAGTCCAGAAGTTTTAGAGCAAAGAAGGCTCACCCTGCAACTCGGGCAGAGACCTGCGCCCCGTGGGTGACAGCTGGGCCTCCAGCCAGCAACATGGTCACATCTGCATCCTTCTGCTCTTTTTATTGAATTCGCTCGTTTAGAGTCAACTGAGCACCTACTTCCTGAGTGCCAGACAGGGTGCTGGGGGTGCCACATGTGTTCTCTTTGTGTCTAAGCCCAGAGGAGAGCAAGTGGGCCCCAGGATGCCCAAAGCATCTGAGGTGCCCTCATGGCTCGAGATACTAAACAATACATTAATTCAACAAAAACTGACCGGGTGCCTTCTTGAGTTCCAGTCCCTGATCTTGAAGGAGAAGCACAGGCCGGCGGGAGACAGGCGAGAAAGCAGGCGGGGAGAGTCTGGTGTGAAAAGGGTATGAGGGTGCGTGCACACAGGTGCAGCCAGGAGGGGCCCCCAAGCTGCTTTTGGGGAGCCAGGAGAAGGTCCCAGAGGAAAGGGAGTCTGAGAGCCCCAAAGCCCACCAGGAGCAA